TTAATATATCAAAGTTGGAATAATGTTGTCAAATTAATTAGAATACTCAATCAAAATATCAATTATACAAATGTGCTCACAAGTGCCCCAACAGTGGCTCTCAGCCAGACATGCTGTGAATGATGTTACTATAATATATCACAGTTTGTTATACAATTACTAATGTACTGGAAGAAGAAAAATAAAATCAAGGTTTTGGCCTTTTTCTTTTAATTTAGAAAGCCATAATCCTGTGCTTTTTTATATGTGTACATTTTCAGATTTTTGTAAATTATGTATCTATGCCAGAAAGTGATAGATCCTAAGTTTTATGGATACTAATATGTCTTAAGCAAAACAACTATGATTTTCTACAAGATTAATGTAATTTAAAAAAAATTCTCTCTGGCATTTTAACATTTCACTTTCTTTAATATCACGCATGTAATTACTTTTAACAAGGGCTATCCAATTTAGGTCATTTCCTAGTGATGCATCAGTGAGCATAAATTGCTATTCAATTGTGTCAGTTCTCATCTCTGAGTCAATGACCCACAGAACCACTTATACCACAAATGTAAAATGATTCTGTTAACACACAACAATTTTCTAGTTCTCTTAATCATTAAAAAAAAGAAGAGATAGAGTATTTAATATATATTCTTCATTCTATTCTGGTCACCCACCCGACTAAAACTATCTATTTCAGTGCCAATTTTCTTTGTTTGCTTTCTGCACTGTCTACTGTCCACTCACATCTCAACTCCTTGTCTTTAAGTTCCTATCCTGATAAATATTCTCAAACTGTTTTTTTAAAAATTTTTGTTTAATTAACAAATATCTTTGGCCCTTTTTATTCTCAAGCATTATTATAGTCATTATTGAAGATAATGGTGTTTAGTAGTTACACCACATGCACGCAAGCCTAAAATTCAAATTTTAGCTTTGTCAGTTTCTAAATATATGCCTTTATGTGAGTTGCTCGGAGCCTTGTTACTTTGAGTGACGAATGCTGCTATTTTATAGAAATGGCATGAACTTCAAACAAAATAAAGTACCTGATGTACTTAGTACTGGGTCCGGTATATATTAATGATAGCTATTAATACTAGACATGATTTCCATCCTCAATATTCTTGATCACTTATTTTCTATGAAATATATGACATCAGTTCTCACTCCACCTCTCTGATTACTCCTTAATCTCTTTGGTCATCATTTCTGCCCCCTATTTCTCATATTTGCATATTGCTCAAACTGTTTTTGCTTGTTCACAGGCTTCCCTGGGTGATTTTATCCTCTTTCTGGGATTAAAAAGTCACTTCTCAATTCTACACACTTCAATTCTGGAATATAAATCTTTAGGCATAACTACTTTTTAAAGTTACCTCTTGAATTTCATATTTTCTTCAGGATAGTTCTAAATATCTTTCTGATAGCTCAACCTCAACATACTTCAATGTAAATTCACCCTATTTCCTAAACTTCTAATTTTCCTTGAATTTCAGTTAGTGTTACTTCCGTGCTCATAGTCTCTCTAACTATTGGACCTGTTATAAAGCCCTCTCACAGCTAACCTCTTGCTTAACAACATGAATTCTATCTTCAGCATCACTCCATGTCCACCCCTCTATTTTCGCTCTGTCCTGCTGTCACGCAGACTCTTATTATTGTCTTCTGAAGTTCAGCCTTGCCTACATCCTTTTGCACTGATGCCACATTCAACCTCCCTATCCACAGTGCAGAGAATCACTGGTCTCCAATTATTAATTAACATATGAGGAAAATCATAGCTCAGTCCTACCAATCTTATCATTAATAACTGAATCTTAGTATTGACAACTGGAAATAGGTTAAACAGGGAAAACTAAAATTGTTTCTAATAAAAGAAGTAGGATGATAAATTGTCTAAAAATTCTTTTATGTGAAAGTCTTACAAATGCTTTACCTGAATAGAAAAATTCACAGGTGGTATGCCAATTTTTAAATTATAATATTTGAGAATGTATACATTTAGTAAATGGGTAGTATACAGACATAATTCATAAAACTCAACAGAAATTACAGAAGGGTGATTTGTGAAACAAAAGCGAATTTTGAAATGATCAATGGTATTGTCAACCTCCAGTTATAATATTCTCTTCTCTGAAAGTAGTTAAATAGAACAAACATGAAAAAGGTCAATATAACACTTGCCTTGCAAATTTGTGAATTTTGTATTTGTTTAAGGAATTGCCAAAATTTAATTCATATTGATAAAGGCTAAGAATCTTATGACTGGCCATGCTTTGATTTCAAATGTCAATTAAGATAACAAGTGGTCATTTTGACTGTTGAAAGAACTAGCTAAAGGAAACAAAGGGAATTATAAGTAGCTGTATGTGATGTGGTTCATATATCTGTTTCTCATCCACTGTTTTATTTTGAATGTTGTCATAAATAGTGCATGTGTGGAAAGGAGCAGATTGTGGGAATTGACAGACCTAGCTATAGACATGGTTGTTTCACTCTAATTTCATGAATTAAAAATTCCTCATAAAAGTTCAGAATAAAGAACAGTATAATAAAGACTGAACATTAAAAATTAAAAATAAATAAATAAATAAAGTGGGTAAATTTCCCAGGAGGTCTGATGCTTTATACTTTGTCAGCTAACACTTTCGGCTTCAGCTATCTTCTTAATTATCAGCTACACGTCAGCAGGGACCAGCAGCCATGTGAAACCTTCTCTTGGGAGCCCAGAAAGGAAGAAGTGAGATGTCAGGAGAGGCAAAAGAAGCTGAGTTTGGGGAGAAGAGGTGCTAAAGATTACAAAACCTACTGCATCATTTGCTGTGAGCCAGCTTGCCACCTAAAATACCTTGCTCTCGTGGGAATTATTCCTGAGATATCATGAGTAAGTATAGCAGGAAAGGATTTTGTGTTGTCACCCCAACCTACTTTTGTCACCCTCTTTACTTCTCCTTACCCCTAGAGAGAAGCTGTCTTTACTAAGATAGTGATACATAATTATTCATAAAAGTTCGCTATGGAAAAAAAAAACCCTTATGAACAGGAGAAAAACCTAGTCGATGCTCCATTATAAAGAATTTTAAATACTCATGAGTGGTATTTATGTTGCTGTAAAAAAATCCCTGAGTGCCCTTCAGGCTCAAGTCAGGAAAAATATCACCACGTTTTTGAAGACATGATAGAATAGAGTAAGAACAAGTAGGAGGGGGAGTCAGAAACAGAAGGATAAAAGAGACTTCCACTTCATAACAATAGAACAAAAGGAGCAAGAGGTCAGAAAGGAGCTGTCTGATATCCATCCACGTAGAACTGCACATGGACTTGAGTGTGGGGAGAAAAGTTTCAAGACACCTGGATGTATCTTCCCCAATCTGACTTTGTATATGTCTAAAAGTAAAATCATTCCTTTTTTGATAAATAAATGCAATCTATTTTTCAGATTTCATGCAGTATAACTTGGACTTATTTTAATTTTCCATGTTTATTTTTGCCATTTAATGTTCATATTCAGGGATAATTTAAAGTTAAATGCACAAATCTGGATTTTGACAAATACATGCACTTATAAAACTCACCCCCCCGCCAATTCTGTAATCCTCCTTTCTGATTTAATCCCCAAGAGGCAATCACTATTCAGATTTCATTAAACATGTATTAGTTTTGCTGGTTTTAGAACTTTAGATAAATGGAATAATATTATATGTACACTTTTGTGTCTGATTTCTTTCCCTGAGGGCGATAAAAAAAAATGTTTGAGGTTCAGCAATTGTGTTGCACCATTAGTGGGTTTTTTTTGTTTGTTTGCTTGCTTGTATTTGCTTTCAGTTGCAGAACAGTATCCTGTTCTATGAATAAACCACAATTTGTGTATCCATTCTCTTCTTCATGAGCATTTGGATATTTCTAGTGTTTGGCTATTATCAGTAATACTCCTGAGAACATTCACATGCAAGGTTTTTTTTTTTGGACATATGTTTTCATTTCGCTTGACTGTAAATACAAAAATAAAATGCAGAATTTCAGAGTCACAGAGTAAGGGTTTATTTAATTTTATAAAGCAACTTCATACTAATTTCCAAACTGTATATTTTACACAATCACTAGCAATGTTGAGAGTTTCAGTTGCTCCAGATCCTTACTGACAATTGGTAATATTAATCTTTTAAAATTTAGCACTTTGGTTATTGAAATGGGTATTGGGTATGAAATGGTATCTCATTTTGGTTTTAATTCATATTTTTCTTATAATCATTAATACTGAACAATTTTTCATGGGCTTAGCCATAAGTATTATTTTCCTTTGCAAGGAAGACGGTGAAGTTATTTGCCAGTAAAAAGTTGTCTTTTTATTAGAAAGTTGTATAAATGCTTTATATATCCTCAATACAAGTCTTTCATCAGATGATATACTTATTTAAGCATCAGATATGTTCATTTCACCAGTCAGAAGCTTACCTGTTAGCTTTGGGGGTTTTTTTAATGGTATCTTTTGATAAGCAGACAACTTTAATTTGGTTGGAGCTTATTAATTTTAATTTTATGGGTAATGACTTCTGTGCAATGCGTGTTTTTCCACAGACAGAGAAATCTTGCATGCAAAGATAGAAAAGACACTGTAATGCATCATTCTATAAATTTTATTAGTGTTTACATTTGTGTTTATGGTCTTTTTTTTAAGACATTTATTCAGTGTCATGATCAAACTATTACATTTAGCAATTAACAGCATGGGTGAAAAAAAAAATTCTACATTAAAACCCTTTGTTGGAATGCTTTACGCTTTCCACAGAACAGAAACTAAAATAACCTGTCATACAATTAGTCACAAATACAGTCCTCAAATTTTTTTTCCCATATACATGAGTATTATCTAAAACATGTCTTTTTTGTAGCAGATAGGACCTGCCACCACTGTGCTTGGCTGAGTTCACAAATCTGTCGTAACCTGTAGCTTCCCTGTCACTTCTCTGGCTCTCCTCTCCTGCTAAGGTTTGTTTCCTGGAAGTTAATTAAAACCTCCTGTCACTGCCGTAGCTACTGCTGCTGCTGCTGGAACCACCACAGCCCCCTTGGTTTTGTGATTTGGCAAAGTATTGGCCTCCACCACCATAAGGGCCAGAGCTTCTGCCTCCAAAATTTCCTTCTTTCATGAGTCCAAAATTAGAAGACTGATTGTTGTAACTGCCAAAATCATTGCAGCTTCCACCACCTCCAAAATTGCTCCCACCATTTCCAAATCCATTAAATCCATCCCCACTGCCACCATATCCACCACCACCATGTCTGCCACCAAAGCCACCACTACCACTGAAGTTTCCTCCACAACCAAAGTTGTCATTCCCACCAAAACAATTTCCACGACCACCACCAAAGTTTCCAGAACCACTTCGACCTCTTCGGCTGGATGAAGCACCAGCCATCTCTTGCTTCGACAGGGCTTTCCTTTGTTCACAGTTGTGGCCATTCACAGTGTGGTATTTCTGAATGACAATCTTATCCACAGAGTCATGCTCATCAAAGGTTACAAAAGCAAAGCTTCTCTTCTTGCTGCTGCCTCGGTCAGTCATGATTTCAGTCACTTCAATTTTCCCATACTGTTCAAAGTCATCTCTCAGGGGATGTTCTTCAGTGTCCTCTTTAATGCCACCAACAAAGATCTTCTCAGTTAAGTGGGCACCGGGTCTTTGAGAATCCTCTCTTGAGACAGCCCTCTTTGGTTCCACTACTCTTCTATCCACCTTGTGTGGCCTTACATCCATAGCTGCATCCACCTCCTCCACAGTGGCATATGTGACAAACCGAAAGTCCCTGGAGCACTTCCTGTTTGGATGTCTCATTAACACACAGTCCATGAGCTCAAAATGGCTCCTGAGACTCTCATCAGTTGTTGCAAAGCTCAAACCTTCGATGACAATCTTCCCCAGCTATTTGGGCTCTTTAGGAGACTCTGACTTAGACGTGACAGCAGTGCGAAGAACCTTTAACACCGCTTCCTCAGCAGAGTCCATGGACCGAAAGGCATGTTTTCTCCGTGTCGGCCTCAAAACCTCGAACCCTCTGCCGCTTATTTGTCGATGTAGTATCGTTGTTGAAAGATTTATTCGTCCTTTGTTGCTCTTAGAAATGCAGTCACTTCTCTGGTAACACAGCACACAGCACTCAGGATCGCGCTGTGTCCCGACACGGGTGCTCCATTCCCGCCGCCATTTTCCCTCCCTCATGGTCTATCTTGACTTAGATTTTTATGTATGTTGTGAGGTGTAAATAAAAGCTATCACAGCACATTTGTGGAAAAGACTCTCCTCTTTGGTGCCTTGGTAAAAAATCATTGATTGTATATAAGCAGCTTTATTTCTGGGCAGTCTGTTATATCCCATGGGATAATTTGTTTATGTTTATACCAAGACCTCACTCCCTCATTCACTGTAATATTATAGTAAATGTTGGTAATCCAACCTTGTTCTTTTCCGAGATATTTTTGGCTATTTTAGATCTTTGCATTTTTATATTAAAATTTAAATTATTTAAAATTTCCTTTAAATTTTAGAATTAACTTGCAAATTCCTTCAAAAAACCCTATGAGCATTTTTGTGGAGGAATTTTATTGAATATAGGGATCAGTTTGAGAAGAATGGACAGTCTAAATAATGAGTTTTCAAATTGATGGGCATGGTATTTGTCTCCATTTATTTATTCAGGTCCTCTATTTAGTTTGGCAATGTTTTGTAAATTTTAGTGTAAATTTATTTTATATTTTTTGTTGAACTTGTTTCTGAAGATTTTTGTTTCATTTTTTGGCACTTTTAAATTTAATTTTTTAATTGTTCATTGATTTTTTATGTTGATCTTTTATTCTTCAAAATTGTTAAACACAATTATTAACTTTAACGTTTTTATTTTTTTCTGGAATAATCTATGCAAATTACTAGGCTATATAATAATAAAGACAGATTTACTTTTTTTCTTTCTAATTTTTATATATTTTAATACCTTTTCTTATTGCTCTGACTCTTACATTAAAATAGATACCTAGACTGAATCTGTATATATGTATACATACATACATGTATATAGAATATGCGTTATTATTTTCTGAATATTATGCAATTGAATTTGACCTTCCCATTGGAATCATGGTTGCTTGGAAGAGTTTATTATTTTTTTTAGTATGTGACATAAGTCTTTGCTTCTACTGTTATGAACACCTAGTTTTTATGCATTGTCATAAGAGACTAGGTTCTGAATTATTAGTAATTTTAGAAGTTATAAACATTTTATTACACCAATTCTTGTTATTAGTGCATAAGAGCTCTTTAAAAAGGGGATTATGTAATTAAGGTGGAGAGTAATAAAGAATGCTACCAGAAAAGGATTAGATTTGGAGAGGTAAAGATCAGAAATCCAATTTGTGAGATGATTACTTTTAAGAATATTTGGGACAATCTAGTAGCATATAACGTAGAAAAATAGCAACATAAGTTTGAAGTTTATATAAATAATTTTGTAATTTCCTTTGTTTAAGTTGTTATCAGGCAAATAGTTGGTGTAAATTATTATAAAATGAGATTAGATAGTATGTATTGTAGAACTATGCTGTGAGAAATTATCTGCACCTTTAATATTATGATTTTTTTATAGGAAAAGTGTTTGTTATTGACATTGAAATTAGGAAATTTCACAGTTATATTCAGGATTTTTCAAGTAGTATTTGGCAGCTAAATGGAAATACATTAGTACATTACCTTGAAATAGCAACTTGCTAACTTTTTGTAATATTTCTGAAATCCATCTATGACTCCTAATCATCTAGGTATCCTGAATTACTTCAGAATTTTGATCATTTTATAATACTCAAAATTAAGGAGTAAATAGCTTTTCAGTCAAGATCCTGTACTTTTGAGAGAGAGAAAGCCTAGGATTAAATACTGGGTTTTCCACTTAAGAATGTAACCATGGACAGTTTATTAAATTTTTGTTCCTCAGTTTCCTTATCTAATTCATAGGGTTGCTATACAGATTAAATGAGTTAATATTTTAAAGTGCTTAAAACTGTCTTTCATAGAGAAAGCAATATATGGATTTAATAAATGAAATAACACTAATAATTTTGAATTTCACTGTTCACTGTATTGTTAGGAAACAGCAATATTAGCTCTAAGATATGGCAGTTGTATTATTTTCATAAAATATTAATATCATTTCACAAATTGCAGCAATTGACTGTATTATTTTATTGATTCCCACCACTTATTAGGATGAAAAATAACAAATAAAAATAATGATAAAGCTGGCATTTCATGATCGTTTTCTATGTACTAAGCACATTTCAAGTCTCTCAACAACCCTATGAGATGAGTGCCATTAGCCCAGTTGAGATTTGACAGAGCTGAGGCACAGGAAGACAAATTACCTTGCCAAGGTCGCATGGTGGTAAACCCTGTACACCAACCCTCCAAGTGCCACTTTCAACTGATATTCAGATCTTAACAGCACCATGTAAATAATATTAGCAAAGTGAAGAAAAAAAGAGTTAAGAATTTTTTCCTATTCGTCAGTCCTTGTGTACCCCCAAATTAGAATAACCATTGCTTTACAAACAAACAGAGAAAAATCCACAACCAAATAAAAGACTGGGAAAGTTGGAAATGATTTTTTCTGATTCTCTGACTCCTTCCATTGACACAAACCCGGGAAATCAAGAGGCATTCAATAACTATAATTAAACGTCTGAGTAAATGGAAATTATATAATCCCATGGAACTTTTTCCATATTTTTATAGTATTTGGTCTCAGAGTGTAGTACGTATATAACAAATGCCTTTAAGTCATAAAACTTTTACAAATGCCTGTGGATTTTAAAAATTGGTAATTTGTGTCTTCTCTTCTTGATAGCCTAGCTAAAGATGTATCAATTAACTTTTCAAAGAATTAACTTTTGGTTCATATATTTTCTCCATTATTTGTCCATTTTCTGCTTATTTCTTGTCTTTATTTTCCTTTCCATCCATTTAGTTTGGGTTTATTTGCTCTTTTTCTAGTTTAAGATGAAAATTTAGACCATTAATTTTAGATCTTTCCTTTTTTCCATTAAAAACTGCATCACAGGGCCGGCCCGTGGCTCACTCGGTAGAGTGTGGTGCTGATAACACCAAGGCCACGGGTTCGGATCCTATATAGGGATGGCCGGTTTGCTCACTGGCTGAGCGTGGTGCTGACAACACCAGGCCAAGGGTTGAGATCCCCTTACCAGTCATCCTTTTAAAAAAATAATAATAAAAATAAAATAAAATAAAATAAAATACAAAATCAAGATAATTAAAAAAACATTTATCCAGTCTGGATTTGATTTTCCACCTGTACAGTAAACGACAGGTGACATATATAACCAACAAGTTACCTTTTAGTTTTTCTGCTTTACTTTTTGTAAAATGGAATCATTATATCATGTGAACCACCCCCAACTAGATATAAAATAATAATAATAAAAATAATAATTAAAATAATAATAATAATAATAATAATGAGGGTGTTGACCAAATACATGGAAGATGACATTAGTTAGGTTTAGGTTGCAAGAACAAAGAAAAGATTTCTCAAATGATGAAAATTGTCATCATTGAGAAATGTGTAAATTTTTCAGGACTCCTCAAAACTAATGTTGATCTACCTAAAGAAAGTAAGTATAAAAGTTGTTGGTATATTGGAATTTTTATAGTATTTTTTCATCCTTTAAAAGAAATACATTATTAACTAGAAACATAAAAGATGAAGCTCTATGTGATGTCATAACCAATGTGCTTTTATTACTATTTGGAAAGTTTACTAGCAAGAAATAAAAGTTAAATAATTTACTTCTTACTTCCTGTGCTTTTTTTTTTTAGGTGAATATGTAGGGATATCCAACCCAATTTTTTTTTTACTGTTTTCCATAATCTTTCTTAATTTGAAAGAGCATTTTGTTTTTTATATAAACTTTTCTGATCTAAAACTCAATTCCCTATATGAAGTTCCAAGGCAAACCAGAATTACCGTAGGCCTACAGGTATAAAATATTTAATGTCTTTAAAATGTATTTTCCCGAGATAGCAAAAAATGTAATTACATAATGGTCCTTATTAAGAAATACAGATGCAAACTTTTGCATATAGAAGCCCAGTAAACTCAGTTACCTTTTTCAGCACCAAGACCTGGCTGAATGGTGAATCATGATAACCTAATTCAAATACATTGGCTTTATTATTCATGATAGACATTTGAATTTAGGCATTAAAAATGGCAGATCTCTTTACTTGAAGTATTTTCTCTCCTTTTCTATCTCACCCAGCTGGCTAATACCCTGCCTTGCAAGGTCTCAGTTTAAATATCACTTCACTCTTCATCACCATCAATTACCTCCGACGTCTAGGACTGGTAGATCCTCTTTTTACTTGTTTGCCGTTTACTTCACATTCTTTATTAGCTCTTATCATGTCTGAAATGTAAAACTTACTCATGCAAGTATTTGCTTTCTATGTGTCTCCAATGTAGATTGTGAGTCCTATGACAGAAGGAGCCAATTTTCTTTTTTTATCTTAAACCACTCAGTATTTGATTCTCAGAACATGTTTTCTGAATAAATATCAAATAAACTGAGAAATCATTTGAGAAGACTTAAGAAACACCATTTGTGAACTCTTTGAGGGATTGCCAGACAAATAACAGTGCAGATATAACTAATTAGTTTCATGTATAACTAATTACTGTGAGGATGATAATGCACATTTTTCTTTGATCATTAATCCATCCTCATAATGTGGCCAATACAATCTTCAAGCCACTAATAGGTGAATTAGAGTCTCAGTCCCGTTTCTACGTGTTTCTTTTCCTTACCCTGCATTATGTGTTTCTTCGTCTCACAATGATTCTTTCCAGTTGACTAAAGCAATTCTCTAACTCATTTTACATTTAAACA